AAATACAAGACATGCCAGAATTTCAGAAATACTGGTTGCTAACTGCCACATCAGATGCTGACATTGTTACAGGTACAAACAAATCTTCCAAAAGGATATATCCAATGCTTACATTGTATGTTGGTAGTGGACAACATAAATGTTGAAAAGTCAAAAGCAAATGGAGTCATTTGTACTTTCAAGTCTGTCAAACTGAAAAATGGGTACCACAATTGTAAAATTATTAACATTGATGGATTTTTGTTCAATGTGTAGATGCCAAGAAAGTTGAATAGATGGAGGTAGTCCTTGAAGAAGGAGACTCAAAAAAGGGACCAATTTATCTTCTTAAAACACAGCAGCAATAGTAATATTTTKATGCCTGCAAGTCACACCAAGGGAATGCAATTATCTCAATTCCCAATTTATATTGCCAATRCAAGAACTGTTCACAAATTACAGGGAGGATCTTTGGAATGTGCTGGTTTCAACTTGTTGGTCTTATAMAAGCAATTGAATTCATGTTGTACTTTCAACAAGAGTTAAAACTTCTTCCAMTGGTCTGTTTGTAAGATCACCTCTTCTGCTTACAAAAAACAACACCAACAAAAACAATACACAGCATACACAACAGATTTATGATTTCCATTCCTATTAAAAAACAAACAAACAGCCACAGTGCTTTCATTGAATAGCTTCTACTACGCATTCTTTTCAGAACATAACTTCAACCYTACTGGCACTATCTTAGTTTTTGCACTGTAGAAACTATTTATGTTAGCAAGCCAATTAAKTATGGTTCAGGAAACAAAATAAGAACAGAACTCTGAAAATCATGTCTGGCATGAAGGTAGGTAYATACCCACAAAAACCAACCTGTTAACACCAAACGTCTGGACTCTCCYTCTAGTCTTTCTACTAAATCACAAAGTCAGTATGTAGTACGAGTTTAATTTGAGTAAAATTACAGAAAATGAACTCCCAATTTGGGCCAACCACTAGTGTAACTTTGGCAGACCAGTTCTAAGCTGCCAGAGCATCCTTAAGCTTCCCAATGACATGGATTTCTAATTAATTATATAAACTTGGACTGGGTGCTTAGACTGGTGGTCTAGAGTTTTTTTTGGATAGACTTCTGGCCTATTTTCTAACCAACAGCTGGTCTCAGAACTGGCCAATTTTGGCTATACTGGCTGTGAATGGAGAACTGGTTCAACTCCATGGCTCTCCTCKTAGAGTTCCCAGTAGTAATTCCTGTGTTACTAAAGTGTTTTAAATGAATCTATTGTCAACTAATGCTCTGTTTCCTATTYAACATACCTCTATTGTTTAGTTTAAAACAGAATCATGGCTCCTGCTCATAGGAAAATTGCTAGTACTACTAAGGGTAGTACTGCCCATTTGGGTGCAAAAAGGATTGCATCTCGTGTTCCTTCTACTAGTACCACCATCATTCCCAGGCCTTCTCCAGAARAGGAACTCAAAAGAAAGGTGGCATTGGCTGCTGATCTCATTATGAATCCATGTGTTCTTACTGTTGCTCAAGCAATGAAAGCTGTGGATTTTGAAAAGTTCTAAGCTCACAAAGCATCAATGCATATGTGAGTCCAGAGACTTGTGTGAC